GGTTCCTCCAGCGAAAACTTTACGACCGATGTTCGATATCTCGAAGGCGACCGAATATAATAAAGTGAACGTTCACGAAACTCCTATGACCGTCGCTGGAGCACTTCTGTGGCGTGTAATGAGAAGGCACGCCGAGAGAAAATGTTTAATTGCTGACAGTGTAACAAGCACGATACCTTTCGACGGTTAATTTCGTTCCATTGCCAGCGATGACCTCGAAACGTGCAAGTAATGTGCGAGGCGTTTGTTTCCGTCTTTCTCCGCGACGTCGCGTATGGCTCTTCGTCGAAATTTACGTGGTGTGTGTACGTGTGTGTGGGTGTGTGCGAAACTCTCGTTATTGAAATTAACCAGCGTGTAATCAGCCCGTAAGCACGATACCTTAAACGGATGGGCAAGGCGCGAAATCTGCAGTTTGTGGGACAACCGCATTACTCTTCATGTATACACGACGTAGCAAGGTGCGAAACCCATATTTGGCAATGCTTCGATAAATCTGCGCCAAGACAGAAACCGCGATATCCAATCTTCTTATTATTATCTACTTTCTTCCTGTTTATTGCTCGACCATGTATGAATCCAATTCGGCCGTACGTTCGATCTTCTGATGTCTCTTTTAATTGATTTACCACAAAAACGATGTGCACGTGTTATGAACTTAATAGATTGACAACTGATAAAAACAATGATCTTCCAAATTTCCCCCAAAAACACATACATTTCTATAATAAAAAAAATTACTCTTACAAAAAAATATATATTCTCTGTCGTAATATTCCTTTTCTTGTTATACAAACATTATATCTTAGGCATCTAAAGCCGCTGCTGTTATAATTTAATAAAAATTAATTTTTTTAAATTAAAATTTGTCATGTATAATGTATACGATCAACAAAAAAATTTGACATACAAGCGAAAATAAAAATTATTATACACGCCCCGAATTTCATGGGACGTTTTCAAGATTGAATAAACGAGTACTCGGCTCAGTTCAAACGTTATCCGTAATACTCTTTAATGCGTTCCTCTTTTAATGCAATTTAATTTACAATCTCATGAACCTGCACGGTTTTGGCGCATCACTGTTACGGACCAATTATTATTCCATCATTCCTACGAAGAATGCTTTCCCCGTGCGTTTTTCTTTCCTCGACCAGACCATTTCGTCCGATTTAATTTGGCCGACGCGATCTCACCCGAAGCGTGTGATCGCGCTCGATTATGGCCACGGCACCTGCTTAAGCCGTCTTCGCACCGCCCGCGGCAAAAAAGTCTCATATGCTCAACTGAGAGGTGATTACGAATGAGATTCGCGTGCGGCGCGGCTTGACGATTCGCGCATCCAGTGTTTCATTGAAATCCGCGGACCGCCGAAAAGATGTGCTAATGAGCAAGATGCACGGCTGATTACAGAGCGGCATGGGAAACGAATGTTTGAGAGGAAGACACGCCGCAAAGCGCGTTAAGTGGCAAAAGAACGGCCACCTAGCGAGCGAGCGAACGAGCAAATCCTTTCCTTTGGAAGGTGAGAATCAAGAGCCGATAGGAGGTCGCCAGATGTCCTGTGACGACGTCGTCGATACGTGAAGACCGCCAGGAAAGTGTCATAATCTTGGACTTTGCTTGTGCCAGCTGGCTAATTTCCTACGCCGCTAAGAGCACAACGCAAATGACGCTCGGCATGTAATGTGGATAGCCGGGAACGATGAAGGCGGGAAGAGGCTCGGCACAAGGCCGTTTTAAGGTCTTTATATGCCTCGACATTTCAATAGTATACATTTTTGCATCGGCAATTACAATGCGACTCGCAAACGCTGACGAGGCCAGGTGGAAAATTCCTAAAGGACATGAGATGCTTTGTCATAAAATTGGTAAACGTTTTTATGTCGCGAGATATTTCTATCAAAGAGTCTCGCAAAATGTATAAAGATATATTGATGACATTAGAAAACTTATCTGAAAACAAAAAAAAAACGGAATATTTTAAGCCGTCAATCATTATTTAAATTGCTTGTCAATTTAATTTGTAATATTATTATCCCAGCTCGGTTTATGATTGCATTTCAAGACTGAAAATGATTTCGATGCGCAGTTTGTAGAACAAAATATGTACATGAATTCATACCGAAAATATTATTTAAGCACTAAAGATCTAGTTTAAAATGTTAAGGCTTTAATTTCTCAGTTGTGTTATCTGAAACGTTGAAAAGCTTAAAAAGAAATTACATGTAAAGGAATTTAAATGTTGATTCACACCATTAATCTGAACGCTCATGGAATACGTTATTAGCTACACAGAATGTGAAATGCAACGTTACTTATCAATGTACACTGGAACGGGAAGTCCTTTACGACCGCATACTAATCGTTTATACGCAATATATGAGCTACTTGACAGCTCTATTAGCATGATTATTCTTTATTACTATGTTACTTCTGCGTCGCACGTTGTCTAGCGTCCGCATATGCATATCGCGATTTTCACCGCGATCGATAAAATGATGAATGATGGCAAAGTGATTTTCGTAAAATTTATAGAGCTACATTTGCAAATATATTAAACCACGATATTACATATTTTCCTTTCGCAGATTAAACGCTAAAATTTATAGTTTCTACTCACGTTATGTAATGTAGGTTCGCAATTTCCACGGAATACCATCGTTTGTTCACCGAGTAATTTGAAACGTACGTTGAAACAACAAATAGTTTCATATTCGCTCGAAAGTTAGATGCGCAAAGTAGGAACTTTCGTAGAGAAGCAACGGTTTATAGAAAGTTCCAGGAATACTGGAACTAGGAATTACTTGCGAGAAGTCTTAACAACTGACCTATCGGTCAATTGTCCATGCAATACAATTGAAAGGCAAACCTTTTTCTTCAAGTTTCTCTAATCTATTCGAGCGGCCCCGTTTTAGTCGGGCACGGGCTAGTCCCATTCATAAACTCGTAGTAGTCACAATGGTATTTCCTGCTACGTCTATCCGAGCATGGGTTATCTAGGGAAATCCCCGATTGAAATACTGGTAGGTTTCATTGAGCCTTAGCCATCGAGCAATTTCGCAGCGGCATTGACTGCGATCTAAGGCGACACTTGGCGAGTTGAATTGGCAGGAAGCCCGACGCCGCTTAACTCTTCTTTCAATGAGATTATCGTTGGTTACTCGGGCCTCTTGCCACCGAGCCCGACTTCATTCGTATTGTCGACGACGACTACGACACGACGATTCATGAACGACAGCGGCGAAATGCGAGACTACTCGGGAACTGATTCCGAGAAGAGCTTCTAAGTGTCTGAAGTGGGTGATCGATAACATTTGCCGCAACAAGGAACGTTTAAAGCTATCGTTCTTCTCCTCTCATTGTCAGATTGCAATGACAATACGATTTTATCGTAAATTATTATTTTCGATCGCAATCAGCACGTTACATCCCGTCTATTGTACTCTAAAGGAGCCAATTAACGAATATCAATGTGAAATAATCAATTGCGCTCCATAATTATAACATTAAGTCTCTTTAGTTTTTCGAAGCGTTCTCATTACAATTTTCGCAATCCCCTGCCGCGCACGCGCTTTTCATTATTTGTCGTTAACGAGTTTTAAGAGCTCTAACGATGTACTGTCTGTGTATGCCAAAGGTTGCACGTGAGAGGGTTCTAATGAATACCAAGTCGAACCGGTAGCCACTTACCACGAGCTCCCTCGCGTTTAGCACGTTTAGCACCGGTCAACTGACCGCATAATCATCGCCGTATGAGCTGGAATAACGCCAGTCTAAGTGAATTAGTGGTGCGTGCCTGGTACTTTTATTTTTCTCTCACTTAGCTTTTCGTTAAGCGCAGGCGCTCTAATGGTTCGCCATTTACGGTCGCAAGAGAACAATGCCCCCGATGTATCGATTTTCGCCGGTTCCGACAGTCTCCTCAGCGTATTCTCTCAACGAGTTGACGCGCGGTTCAACATTTAAAATTCAAATCACATCGTTGACTGACTATTTATCGAATTTCACCTACAAAAGTTATTGCGATGTCGCACGTCCCGTTACGGGTGAAATTACCTTTTCTTGCACACTGCGAACTAGGGTAGGATGATATCTCGACGATATTCTAAAGCTTGTTATTAGTCACTGTCGATAATTCGCGAAGGAGGACCTACTACAACGTGCACACCTCGTGCATAATCCCGCTTCAAATCGCACGACTAGTCAAATTTGAATATAATCTCTCGTCGCTTTGACTACGTCGTATTCCCAACAACGTATTATCATAGGTATCGTCCGACGCGGCGCGATTTCCTTATCATGACGAATGGTGGTGGGCTGTCGCGATTAATCGATTTAACGCTATTTCCGAGAAGCAGCACAGTCACGGTGGATATGTTAACGAGTGGTGCGTCGTTCGATAGCATCGAACACGGTTTCGCGAGCGTTCATGAATTATAATTGGGCCGTAATTAATGACACCGTCGTTATTGACAGGTGAGAACCGACATCGCCGCGTGCTACGCGAGTTATTCGCCTCGACCGCGCCCCTTGATCTCGTTTCGAGCTACACTTATTTTTAGGCTTAATTGCACCAACGGCAACGACGATGTTACGGCATAATCACCGTCATGGTATCACCCGATCGAGAGATATCGCGCCGGCAATTGCAAATGTTTATGATCGTACCCGCGCCTCTGAGATCGAATCATTTTTGCGGCGAGTAATTTCGTGAGGTACCGGTGCACGTGAGATAAATAATTTGGAAAGAACTTTATGATATCGCCTGTGGCGTAATGTCTCATTATATCGAGATGCTGCGAGAATTGAGATTGGCTTTTGCACGACCATCTAAAGCTTATGTAACGTAGGACGTACTCGATCTGATTTTTGTCGATTTTGTTCCCTTATCGAATAATTGGTACATGTGGTTTCTTTATGTATGTGATTGTACAATAAATATAACGAAAGGTTTAATTTGAGTTTTTTAAATATTTATTGACAATTTATTTGCGCGTTCTTGAACGAGGGTCAAAATGTGGATATATACAGACGTTTGCATGGAAAAGATTTATTTTTCAAAAAGCGCGATACACGTTACAGTGCGTATCGACGAGGGACAACGATTATAACTATCGTATATATATATAATATATATATATATATAGTGTATACTTCACCTAAAATCGATTGATATCGGTAAATAACTTAGTAAATTCCGTTAATATCACAACACATTATTTTCTCAATTGATCTCGTACGCACCGAGGTTTCCCTTGCGCCTTCTCGAGGAAAACCAACCAATTGTGCGATTTATCTGGTCAACGGATCGCTTCACATTCGCTCGATACTCGTCCTCATAAGCGTTGAGATACAAGTTCTTGAGAAATATTTGATTATCCAGCTCGGAAGGCGGCAGGAATCGTTTCGAACGACTCTGCTGTTGCGCCTGCAGCTCGTCGAAAGTGAACTGTTTTGATTTGGCATCGTCAATGGGCTTCGACTTCCCCGAATTTTTTTGATCGTCCGTGCTGATCAGTTTTACTGACAGAAGCTTCCTCTTTTGACGTGAAGCGCCAGCTTCCTCCGACGTGTTTCGTATCCGCTTACTGCGGTGCTTGGGCGCTCCATCTTTAGCTGGAATCTCGTTATCGAGTACGGCAACATCGTTACTCGGGATTGTTGATGATTGATTACCGTATGACGCGGCCTTCGACGCCGGTGACGTGCTAGATTCTACGGTTACGCTTTCTTCCGTTGAGTTCAATCTATCCTGTATGATATGTTTGAAAAATGCGTACATCTCACCAACCGTGAAAGTCGTGCCGTTCCTCACGGTGAACTTGTCGATGTTCATTTTCTTAATTAATTCCTCGGTCGCATTGCGCGCCTCCAACATCGACAGCTTCTCGGTTACGTAACTGTTGACGAACTCGTAGAAACCCTTGTAATAATTCTTCCTGTGCTTTTTCTTATCTTTTCGCTTCTCAGCGTGCGACAAGCCTTTCCTCTTCGCATCTTTTCGATTCTGCTTTTCGTTCCAGCGTATAGACTTGTTGTAAAATCTCATGATTCGCTCGAATTCCCTCTTCAGCTTAATGAACTCTCTCTGATTACGTATCTCAAAATCCGAGCGGGCTTTGCTACCGTTTCGTCGCGACTCCGCAAGGTCTACATGGAAGAAGTTCTTGCTCATTGCATTCAGTAGATCGTGCATAGTATTGTTGCTAGAATTATTTGGTTGTTTGGCATCCATGCGCTGTAATTTTCTATATACCATCTTGAGAAAATCAATCATTCTCTCCTCTCGCAAACGGGATTTATTGCCATGACCTGCGTGTGCTTTCCAAGTTGACGGATCGGACGCATTGGTGTTGTTCTGTTGGCTAGCAATAGATGCTAGTTTCGCTTCTGCTTTATGCTTGGAATGTTCACGGCTTCTGTTCATTTCCATATGTAGAAGTTTTTTACCCACTTTACGGAAGAAGTCGATGAATTTTCTGAAACATTAATATTTAATTTTTATTTTTAATAATGTTTTTACATTGTTTTTCTAAATACTTTTATACTTTACTAAATATTTTTCAGCACATTAACATCTTTCTAATATGATACCGGATTGAGCATCAAATTATTAAAATTTGCTTTCGATTTAATTTAATTTGTGATATTATTACAATAGTTTAATTGCGTTTTTATAAGTCCGGAAAAAATTCGGCACGCAGTTTGAATGACTACAAATATGATATATATACATGTGCATACATAGTATGCACATAATTCACATTGAATTATTTAAAATGATCTAGTTTCGACCGTTATTGACTTTAATATGTTTACTTTTTGTGTATTCACATGTATGGTCTTAATAAATCATTTATTATTGTTTATTAAATACTGTTACACTTTTTCTAAAATAAAATAAACATATTTACTTATAAGTGTAAACTAAAATAAATATAAACTCTCTCTCTCTCTCTCTCTCTCAGATTTCAATTTATTAAATTGTTGATTGATTATATATTAATATTTATTAATATTTATTGTAAATTCTTACTTGTAATTTAGGGTAACGTTGTAATTCAAGGTAACATTGTCGTTGTCTACAGATCTACGCCGTCTGCTCCATCTAAGTCGAGGGTGCTGTCCAAGAATACACTTGGGCAAGTTCTTAGGACTCCATGCACCGCCTATGCAAGTAGCGCCAGTTGGCCCGTCATCGAGAACGTAACCCTTATCACAGTCGTACATAATCTGCTTGTTATTGACAATCTTCTTCACATACGGTCTATAATCATAAACTCCCATGTTGCCCACCAGAAAAACTTTGCCATGTTCGATGAGGCCGGGAAACGGGCAGAAGACCTGCTCGCAGTAGGGTAGATCGCCGATCCAGTTGCCATAGCGACATTCCACGGATGTGGAGAGATTCAAAGGACCACCGCCAATCAACTTGAAGCCGTCTTTGCACTTAAATATCGCCTTCATACCGTGATCTGTCTTTGGTGCTATTACCATCCCATTCTTCGGACTCTTCGGCATATTCTTACATCGAGCTGGCGAACAACTTGGTACTATCGACCAAGTACCGTTATTGCATAACACCGGAGTGCTGTTAGCGGCGAATTCGTAATTCGGAATGCACGTAACCAGAAGTTTCTCGTTGTGCTCCACCACCGTAACGTTATTAATGTGATCTCTATTGTGGCTGGCTATGGTAACGTAACCGTTTTCGATCTGTGGGACGACGCACGGTGCTAAACATTGCGGTATAGGATAACGCCATTTGCCATCTTTCTGACAGACAGAGGAAGTATTACCATCCAGCTTCATGTGATCCTTACAGCGGAAGATTATGCTGGCGCCCATACCTGTGCCTATGATCGCAACAATTCCACAAAGAAAGAACGATTATAATATATTTATTAATCGTAAATTATATTATTCGGAATTTTAAATAACACACCGGCTTCAATGTTTTCAATCCAACCGTTATATAACACGCCAGGTAAACCACAATTGATTTCCTGGCAAGTAGGCGTCTTTCCAGTCCACTTTCTGTCAGCACCGCAACGTCTAGTTCCTGCGCCTACTACAGTGTACCCGTACTTGCATTCATACGATACAATGGAATTATACGCGTAGGAGGTGTAGACAGCCTTGCCGTTGACTGGATTTTCTGGCTTCGGACATTGCACGGACGTGACCTGCACGAGATATTGAACACGTCTAGGTACGGTTTGTTTCCGAGGAACAATTCAAAATTTTATTCGTATTTTCTTACTTGAACGCATTGCGGTAACTCCTTCGGAGTCCATGTGCCATCCGCCAGGCACAGTTTCTCCGTTTTACCGACTAATTCGTAACCCTCCATGCAATGATACGATACGCGACAATCGTACGTGTAACATTCCCCTTAAAAGTATAATTGATAATTAAAATCTCTCCCGTATCGAAAAATTAAATACATAAACCGATCGTAATTACGTGAACTTACCAGAGTGCCATCCATTTGGAATGTCCGGGGGTAAATCGCAGTTTTGAGGCTTGCAAGTGATATCTGGCCCGTACCATCTAGCAGCTCCTTCCATCAGTAGACATTTCGCTTTTTTCGCTCCCGTTGCTACATATCCATGAATACAGAAATATTGCACACTACTGTCGAGATCGAAGGTCGTTTGCTCTAACGGAGCGTTGTGGCGCGCGTTTTGTATTTTCGGCGGCTGAGAGCAGAAGGAGTTGGAATCTTTCTTGCAGGACGGATTAGACCCGGTCCAATGACCGTCGGCGCGACATATTCTCTCGGACAGGCCGACTATAAAGTAATCGGTGTCGCAGGCGTAACGAGTTCTATTTCCGAAGAATCTTCCGGCAATTGTCATTACACCGTGATCAATCTCGGTCAACATCGGACATTCACGTTCAGGCTTGATGCACGACATTCCACAGGCTCCGTCGCATCTGCATTTCTTTTTCTTACTCTTGCAGTCCTCATCGGTGGAGCACTTTCGCAAACACTTCTGGCCCATTAGCTCCGCCTGCTCTTCATCTCTCGGACATACAGCAGAGGGTGAGTTTCGTGGGTTTTTATAGATTCGGCCATCGTCATCGACCTCGGGCTTATAGCCCCCGTCGTCGTCATCATCCTCATCGTCATCGTCCCATTCATCGTCATCATCATCATCGTCATCGACGGCTGCTTGTTGCCGAAGCTTCGATTCCGAAGTGAGAAACTGTGCGCACAGCAGAAGCAATAAAACGATCGCGCTTGGTCTCATTCTGGCCTGAAGAAGATTTCTAAATCCCGCAAAGATTCACTGGAAGTATATTAGCGATTGGACCATACGATGGATAGACCACACGACGGCACCGAGACACGACGGGACGTTTACATGACCGCTTGACAGCTCGAACTAACCCTCTTACTCGAAGACCTGCGGAGAGCCAATGCCGTGGATCTTCAGGTGCGCACGATCGTCCATCGAAGAGCACCGTTCCGGGAGTTCCGCTCAGAACACCGCGGAAGTCATCTCGAGCGACGACCGAGGACGACGTTGTTTCTCTCGCGAGCGCGACTATTAATCGAGTCCGCCTCTTCGGCGTCCGGGAGGATTAGGGACCCTCTCCGTCGGTCTCTCTCGCCGGAGTGCTCTTTCGCTCCTACTGGCTCCACCTCGCTTCCTCTCGCTCTGTCCTGGATGCTTTTTTCTTTATTGTACGGACTGCGGTCCCCCGCTGACGGGAATTCGCGGATATTCGCGCATCTCGCCGCGCGCATCCAGCCTGTTCAATACATCTCCTGATTTCCCCAGCTTCCAGCAGATGGCGAGGAAACGTACTGATAAAAGGGAGGCTGCGCAGCTACCCCGGGAACTCGGCTGAACTCGGCTTTTCATGTTCATGATGGTATTCGTATGCTAGGACAAGTGTAGCGTACAAGCAAACATCTGCATCTCTGAATCATATTTTAAATCCTGGTTAACTGCGATTTAACTGTAAATAGTGAGAGAATGAATAAGGGTAGATAAAATGGTAGATAAAATATATGCGATGCACTACTACTACTAATTGAAATGTAATGTTCGCCTTTACAAATCTTCTTTTCACTCAACCTTGCTCGTTAAAATTATAACCCAAAAAATCATGAATTATCCCTAAAGTAGAAAGCTTCCACTATACTCTCTAAAAGTGAATCAGCGTATTATTACTGAAAAACAACAAATATTCGCTGATGATTATATATAGTTATAAGTATAGCACTGAAATCACTGATTCACCTTTAGAGAGTACTATGTAATCAGCGGCTACTAAATTTTTATCATCACGCATTATTCGTTATTTCAGCATAGCTTACTAAAAAAGCAAAAAAAATTCGAAGTATACCCGCGGGGTCTGAAATTATTATTCACGTGAGAGGCGACATTCAGGAGAGGAGCAAGCAAAAACGTATCAGCGCCGTAAAAATTACACCGGGCGAAGGTGTTAAAACGAGCTACAGTGCTTCAAGGCAGAGAACTGTATATGCACGTATACATACCTATCTGTGAGTGCGTCCTAAACTTCCGAGTACAAAACATATGTAATGGATATGAATTGTCTCTCTAAACGCATTCGCTTTAGCCTGTCTCTTTTTTTTCACATGATATGCAACAAGTATATTTTGTTTGCTCAAACCTGAGAAATGTTCACCCCTAATTTCTCTTGATTTCTTATGAGAATGACGTATATTATTAAAAAATATTTTTTTAATTTAACGTTCAACGTCGTGATGATTTGTATGATAAAGTTATAATTTGCCTATGTTGTCGTTGAATAGCGAACGAGAAATACGCACGCCAGCTCGTACGAGCGTGGGTAGCAGCCGGGGGATCGGTTTTCATCGGACAAAGTCGAGTCTACCTTCTATGCTTGTTAGTCGCCATGCTACCAAGATAATCCTCGATCTCTAAACCAAGCGTCATCGTTAGAGTAAGCTTATGTCGGCCATTGTCTTCGTAATGATAGCGATCAATCGGTATGGTTCGACGCCCCAGCGACACCATAGGTGATCCTCTCTCCAATCTCGGATATCGGCTTCGTCGTTCTTGCACTGTGTCTCCGAGATGTCTTCATTTGTCTTATTCAAATGAGGCATTTTAGGATAGGATATTATCTGAATAAAAGAAAACGATCTAAGATATGCGGAAATTAAGTCTTGCGTGATGTATACTGCAACTATCTTTGTATAAAGATATATATTTCTATTTTTAGCTTGAAAAATACTTAATCTATAAAAAGTTTAATTTTTACATAAAATACATAGAATATATATTAATTAAGCCATTAATACTTTTGTAACTAATTATAATGTTTATTTATAATTATCTACGCCGTGATATAAAATTTCAGGCTTTTTGACAAGACTGGTTCTGAACGCATTCAGTGTCACGGCCATTTCCGTGTCTGGATGCACGGATCAGACCGGATTGACAAAGTGGCAGTAACTTGGTAGCTGAAAATGGGAGTGGCTGGAAGACAAGAGGACAACTCGCTCAAAAGATATCTTCGTGGCGCCTCTATGCGACTGCAAGGAATGAAGGAAGCCAGTGGATCTCAGTCATTAGGTGAGTAATTATAACAAATATTGATTTTCTTTATTTTCTCATATGACACAAAATGTCCATTATTTCTTTTGCAAAAAAAGATTTAAATGTAAACACAAATCAAAGCAATATCAAGAAGAATACAATGCATATACATATATTTTTAAGAATACAATGTATGTATATCACATGTGAGAATCCCTGCTACAAAGTCTCTTCGAAGGACGTCCCTTTTCGTCCTCGGTGGGCGGCACACGCCTCGCCAACTTTAAGAACGAGAACCGACTATCAAAGTGTCGGTTTACAGTTGCGCACCTACCTTACATGACGTTGCGTCCTTTCTTCATTCGCTTCCTCTCCGAAAAGCTCGAACACTTTCGAGCAAGTCAACATTACGCAATTATTCAATGTATTTAATGCTTTCGGTCGAAAAAGTCGAAAATATAAGAAACCATGATTGGCGAAATTTCTTGTTACGAGTTCTGGAGAGCTCTTGAAAGGTTTAAGAAACACCGCCGTAAATTCGTAGTTTCGTTTTTTTTCAATTAACTTCATCTCGTCGGATGTGGAAAAGTACGGCAAAAAAAAACGAAGCTTATGGCAAAAGCTACGCGTTTCTGCTCATTCTACAGCTCGTTACGCGACCATTATCCCCAGTCTCGCGAATCCATTATTCTCTCTTCAGCCTCTCGAAGGTTCTTTTGCGATTCGCGCACCGTCCACATGACGCTGCGGAATAATGGTTTACGGTCGTTCCCCGACCGACGAGAATCTCCGGACTCTGATCGCGCGCATGCATACTCGTCGGCTCACGCATAATCCGGTTGCAATCTTTCGCACTCAATCACGAAGCAAATGACGCCAGTTGGCGTTGGTCTAGAAGAGGCGAAATTACCGGAATGAAATTGATTTAAGCAGACGCCTCCGGGGAGTTTTGCAACCGGACGTTTCGGCTTATGGTCGATGATTGTCCGTCCGAGTAAGTTTCTATATTTATCATGCAAGAAAATAAAAATTCAAAGGAGTAGTAACTGTTTAAATATAATCAATTATTCCATCAATCTTCTATTTTGCATTTATATTTAATGCTATTATTAACTGCTGAGATTATTTAATATAAAAGTCAATTAACCATCTCTACTATCAATTAAAATGTATAATACAATTTTAAATTGTTCCATCAGAATGTCAAACGTTCTGCCAATCGACGAGACTTTTACGTTTTTATCCCAACGAGATCACTTCTTATCGTACGATAAACGTCCCGATGCAATTTCCCGTCGCCGATTGGCACTTAAACTTTCTTTAACTGCCAGCATCCACTTCGGTGAACGATCTCGAGCACTCTTGAGCACTGCGGAGGCATCCACGTCGTCACTTACTCATTGGATCTTTATGTGCCGCTGTGCAGCGTCCGCCGCTGACGTTCTTTGTGCGCGACGCTCTGGCTACCGAGCGCGTTCATTTGACGGATGCACCTACGCTACGCAGCTCCCTTTCACGGCTTGGTACGTGCCTTAAGCTGCATTCGTCGGACCGGCTCTTACGAGGCGCACCGACTGAGTCCAATTCAGAAGCAATTGAATTCACAATTCCGTCCATTACGAGTGTCGGGAAAAGATTATGGATGGTGCTGCCGGGCTGTGCGTGCCGCATCTGCATCCATGCGTAGAGCGGACCGCGGACGTATGCATAAATGCATACATGCGCCTTCGTACGTTGCATCGCATGTACGCGACGTAGCCTGTCTGTAGCGAGTTACGGGATGGCTCCTGGGATTAAAGCTCGAGCTAGACAAGTAAAGGCATCAGCGCGCCTGTATGGTACGCGGGAACGGCAAGTTGACGGGGACTGCTCGACGGTTCTTAACAGGCTTATGAATAGATATTCGCGGCTCTTTTAATGATTTATTATTAAGCGACAGTTAAGACGAAACATAACACTGCTTGGAGAGTGTAGTTGTTAACTAGATTTGCACGTGCCGCTGAAAATGTGCGTACCTGCCATGTCTATCAAAATCTTGTGAAACTGAAGTAAGTATAAGAATCCCAGTAGACACAAACTAAAAGTAACATAAAATATCAATGTTATAATTTCGCATTTAACAAAATAAATGTAATGTAACATATGATATTGTACAATAGTTATTGTTGAGTTCAAAATTATAATATTGAAATAATAACATTGATGTTGCGTTACTTTTAGATGATATCAACTGAGATGTACCTTCGTTATAATATATAATGAATAAATTTTCAGATATAATTATTTCTTTTTTCTATATATTTCGTCAACTTGCGAGCTGTACATTTTACAATGCATTAACGCAAAAAATACGCATAACAGCATTACAATCCCATTTGGCGTAATGATTCCCTCATTAAGAATTCAATAATACTTTACGAACGAGATCAATATTTTTTCTTACAGTGTTCCAAATTCTGATGCCCAAGCATTGCATATCTTGAACGCGCGCAACGAGACCGTTGTGCGAGCAGTAACAACGCGTACGAATATGTGCGGCGGGAGAAAGTTCTGCCTTTTGACGCGCTGATTGCAGGTTTCCTTTCGCGTCTCGGTGCTTTTTGACGTTCCCGGCCGGGTCGCGGGAATCCGGGCTGCCTGTCGGTCTCCCACCCTCGCCGTCCAAAGAACTGGAGCACCGTGAAGCGTAAAATGATAGTAATTATGCACCGTCATGTAAAACATGGATTTGCACAGAGCCACCTGAAACCAACCCGTATGCCGTGCGTACGATTATTAAGCCGTCACAACGCGGGAGGACGGCTCTTACCGTCTTGGGTCTTTCGCTGCTACTTTTTCTTGCCATCCCCTTTGGGGCAACCCCTCGGGAATTGCAGGGAGGTAACGCACATTTTCAAGTTGTAAGATGTAATCCTCCCTTTTCGCCCTGCATGCCGATAGCCTGCCAACTACAGCTTGCTTCTCTACGAACGATGAAGCAAAAATTTGTGTAGCAACACAACCAAGTAACCACTTAATAAGCAAACGCAATTTATTCCAAGTTGTCAAAAAGGACTGATTAATCAAGCGAATTTGCAGTTGT